TAAATTTAGTATTTTAGGCACCGATACATTATTTTAACAACTTGGCCAAACATGCACAAGTATGACTTTTGAAAAAACTAATACACCTTATATTTTGGGAATGGTTGGAGGATAATTTTCACTTGCCATTTGGATGATTTACCCATTGTGCAAAAGTTACCCTTTGATCCATTCACTCTGTGTGATGCCAATCTTTCATTGTTCTCCTTTTTGCTGTGGTTATAAAACTGTAAATGGCATGAAATATAGCAACATCAGAATTAGCTTCATGCTAGAAAGGCACATTATGTGCTATTCAACTTCGATGTACCCCTTATACTTCATATGCCATAACCAGTTTGCCTTGATCCTATATCAGCAATTTAAAACCATTATTTTTTTGGATAGATAGAACCATGAATCTTAGTCGCACATAGATAAGACTTCTATTGCTCTGTGTTTACAACATAATTTCACTGGCATTCATGATTCATCCAAGTGATGGATCTTGTTCAACACTTGCAATTAACTGGAATCTTGGAGATCAGTAAGCCGGTGGTCTTGGAACTCATCCAGATGACAGGGGCTGGGTGTTTTGTCCTTTTGTTTGTGAAGGTAGAAAATGAAGTATGACGGTATCACATATAGAAAATTCACTGATTGAGATTGGATTCAGATTAAAGGGTGTGGCATAGGATAGTTTCTGGTATACTAGTAGTGATAATAAACAAACCCAAAGGTTAGCACTTAATCTTAATGAAATAACAGACATGGAAACTAATTATTAAACTCCTTCACTGCTGGCTGCCATATGCACTACCAATTTACCATGGCAAAGTGGTACTTGTCAACACACAGTATTATGTAGTACAGCATGACACTGCTGACACACACACGCCCTTTAATTCTTGAACAGTTTCATTCTGTGACGAACTAACATCTTACTCTATTCTTCCTTAGTTGAGATGGCTCTTAGTCGAGACCTATCCTTCCTTTAATTCTTGAACAGTTTCATTCTGTGACGAACTAACATCTTACTCTATTCTCTCTGTTTTGCAGGTACGGCTCATGCAATGTTCACTCGCTTCGCCGTCAGTTGTCAAGGGCTGCTCATATCTGACAGCCCCGTAAATATTGTTAACGCCCAAGTGGGCGCTCTCTTTGTCTGGGATCTCTATGTGGAACTGATTTAAACGCTGCTGTGTGATATGACGTGTTATTCCGAAACGGAGTGTGATATTGATATTATGAGTCAGTAATAATATATGAGCTTGAGAACATCTTGTGTTGCTGCGCTTGAAGTTTTTTTTTTCTGCATCTGCTTTTATCTAGCATGGGGTATATTTGTGCAACGCTGTTGCTGGCGTGCTGTCTCAGTTCCTTGTGGTATGCCATGTTTGCTCAAACTATCATTCGGTTGTCATGTTAGGGTTGTTAATAACTTGTGCTTCCGTAAGATGTGCAGCGCTTGTTGGATATCTGGGATCTATTTGCCGTCCCAATGTGGCTTTACGAGTCAATAAGGTGTGCTTGATTACAACCTGTGCTGCTGTAAGAACGTTTATGTGCTTGGGTTGGATCTTTTCTATGCTCAGGCTGTGGGCATACTTGTATGATGATGTCATGATGGTCATGTGTATTGTGATTGCATTGCCGTGTCGCTGCCTTTTAGATCATCAGTGGGACTGAGAGCCCTCCTGGTTCCCTAGGTTCAAAAGGAAATAAGTTGATCCCCATGTCCGCTTGGGAGATATTACAGGAAAATTCAAGACACTATAAGCAGAGCAATGCACATGAAAAATGAAGGACCAATGTGTTTTTGGGACACAAACTGTAGCTAAAATTTTGTAGTCAAAAAAATGGTGGTTCGCTGGAGTAGTAGGCTGTGAGGCCCAAGCGGCCCGTTATCCTTCCACCGTTAGGCCAGCCTCACGCCGTGCCTGCCACATCATGGCCCGTGAAGCCCAGCTTTCGCATAAGCCCCGCCGGACGACTACTCAACTTGGAACGGGCGGGCCAACAACAGCACAACTGGACCAGGCCCACAGCACCACAACACCGTCCAACACCACCTCAAAGCCCCCGCTTGGGTGACAAGCTCTCGCTAGTGAGCTCGGCGATTCTGAGGGTGGAGCGAGCTATTTAAGCCGGTCGAATTCCTCCTCGCTAGCCGAGGTGGGACTAAACTAGGTGGTCGTTGCTCTGCGCTTCATACTGGGGAATGGGTGGAGCCGTGGAGCGCTGTGCTGCTTCCCGCCGGGATCAGAAGAGAGCTTTATCGTGGGCCTTTGAGGCTTTGGGCCTTTTGTCGTTTGGGGCAGCCATTTGTGGATTTTCTGTTGTTCACAGGAAAATAGAGCTTTGTGGATTATCGAACGAGTGCTAATTCACGTAGTCAACTTGATTGGCGAAAATGGACAGTATGCCCTTCAGATAAAGATGGACCAATATGACCTCCAGCGTGCTTAAAGCTGGGACTAGAACGTGCATGGCCTGTATTTTTTTTTTGAAAAAACATGGTATTTTTATTTGTAGAATTCTAAACACATGGCAGTTCAATCTCTCTGTGTCATGCATGGTTAAATGATAAGATCATTGAATAAACCGGGGCAAAATTGAGGTATCCTGTAAGATTTTCCTTTCTTTGAAAATGAAGCAAATTTTATATCAAAGATGATGTCGGACATTAAGACCGAACACATCCTCTCAACGGAAGTTAGAGGTCATCATCTTTACACTAGCCTCAAAAGCCATAGCTATATTCCCCACGAACTATCGCTAACCTAGTGTCGAACGTATCCACCAGTAGAAAACTAGAGGTAATCTAACACAAAGCACAACCCTACAAGACAACACTTTCAAGAGAGATCTCCGCTCATATGCCGATTTTTTAAGGTCCAACCAGGCCCATGGTTTCCAATTTCAGTTCCAGATAATTCTTAGCACTAGC